TTTGTGTTGTGATAGACAGAGTGAACATGTCAGCACTGGCCATCTAACTATCTGACTATGAAGGGCACTAAACAGCAATTAGCTGCAATGTGTGCAGCATTGGAGCCCCCCCGGCAGAACTGGGGTGATGCTCAGTATAACATTACTTTAGTTTGGACAGTTCAGTACACATTACTAAACTATGATCACAGAGCTTAATCATAGACTGGTCTGTCTGTAAACACCCATTCAACCATCCACTCATCCGTCCATCCATCCATCTAAACAGTACAGTGTTGCTAGTATTAGCACACATGCTATTACGGACCTTCTGTATAAATATAGCTTTGCCCTATATGCTCTAACATCCTCCTGCAACAACCTCCAATCAATAATTATGGCTCCAATGTCTCCCTGGTGCTGATGCTGCAGGCCCCTGTGTTCCCCGTCTCTCTAAGACGACATTTCAGGGAAGGAACCGAATGCGAGTTACATTCTGTATCAGTAATCCATCAGCAATCATATTAGTCTCAAAATCAAAAACAACTGAGATGTTCAAGGATCCTGAATGTCTCTTAGAAAACACAGCTGATATTATCTGTGCTGGATGTGAGTGAAAGTGAGGAGCCCAGAATTAGGTCCGGTTTGGGTCAGCAGACCAGCTACCTCTAAAAAAATCTGTCTCACAGATAAAGTTGTAACAGTATATACTATATATCCTATGCAGAATTCTTTTAGAAACTCTTTTGTGTTATTGTTTAGCTTCCAACAAAAACTGCTTTCATAGCACTGTGTTATAAGAAACAAAACAGTACTTTTGTTGGAACATAATATCCTACAAAATTGTTATATACCTGAACTGTATCCTATTGTTCATAAAATTAAAACAGAACACAGCCTCCAGCCCTGAATTTTGCCCCAAATAAATAGATTAACACGGCCTACCTCGCAGACCTTCACTGCTGCTGTGGCGGCTGAGCACTTAGCATTTTTAAAATGCCACATATTTTCCTCTCAGTACCAGCAAACACTGTGTGGTTGCAAAAAAATGGCATGATACCTAGTCCGTTAGTTTTTAGAAGAGTTGCATCTTTGTGTTAGGCCTATCTGAAAGGGGTTAATTACTAACGGATATATGTAATTAATAAAAATATTAGAACATAAGCCAGTAAATAGTGCATGAATGCGTTCCTATTGTTTTATGATAGTTACATAACTTGGAAAATAGTACTTACCCTTCTCAACAATAACCCCTAGCTGAATGCGAAATAAACAAACATTGGCGATATTAATAGGCGCACTTTGTCACGTGTTAATTTGATGACACCTACGGGTTTGCGTGTCGGAGTCAGCTGCACTGACTGGTAAAATTCCGGCTGGACCCTCTTCTTAACTTTGCGCTTCCTCACAGTCGACGTGTCCGCGTCGCTTTCTGGGATCTCCAGCAGGGGCTTGTTCTCCTCGCTGGCTCTAACCCGTGTGGTCCTCCTGGCATGGCGGGGACTGTGTCTGTAACCCTGTGCAAGCGCGAAGGATCGGGCAGGAAGGGAAGGGAGTCTTACAACAGAAACAACGTCTACATATATTTGTTATATTTGTATGTCTTGGTTATTACTTAGAGCTTGTAGTCATTGCGCACGCCGATGCGGTTAACATAAGGATACTGGTTGAATAATACATAACGCAATTAAATGGTTTAATTATGGAACATTAATAATAATTGTAATTTATTTTTCGCCTGTGCAGTTTTAGCCGAATAACCACAACAATAATACGCATTTTCAGCAAATGTCATTATGTTCCTTAGTAGCCACACATGCGCAATGCGCACTCAGAAGTAAATATCGCCTTACATCACTTCAAAAGACCATGAAACTTCAGTCAAACTTCGTTTCCTTTATACAGGGGAATGGATGTGCAGACTTACCACAATCATGTCAAGGCAGGAAGAAAAGTATTTACCTCTGATCGAAAATGATACGTCCGTAGACCAACTTCTGGAACAAACGAAAAATGTTCTAGTATATGTATTTACGCAGCAATTGGTCCAAACATTTCTGAACATTAAACTGTTACTGAGCAGTTTATGTATACAGAGAATATAAGAAAACCCTATGTCGACATCAATGGTGAGATAACATTATAATTTTAGCCGCCTGGACTGGTAGCGTAGCTGTCGCAATATGGGTCCAAACACAAATTAACATCTGCAAAAGTATAACAAGTGGATCACAAAAATCACGTGTTACAGCTATTTTTCTAAATAGGTCATAATGTGAAAACCAAAGAAAAAAAGATGTAATTGTTATTCGCAGGGATGGATTAGAGCGTCATGCAGGCTATGGAGGTCTCCTACTCACCGCGGCTCCTTGAGCGTCCTGAGAAGACCGATTTGATGGGATGCTTCCCACTCCGGAGCTTGCGGTGCCAGCAGCAGAAAAATAAAATTGTGGCGATGGTGCCAAGCAAAAGTAGCAATAATAAAAGCACGCACTGGATGCTGTATGGTCTGAGCAGGACCAAAAACGCCGCGGCGATCATCATGCGAGGCGATGTAGGGCAGCGGCTGCTGAAGGCTTTGCTCTAAATGTAAAAATACATGTTACTGTTATCACGGGACCCTCTAGCAGCCGAGCCTCCGTCTACCCTTGAAGATGCATCGATTTCAATAATGCAAGCCGACAATCCATGACTCAGCAACACGGACCGAGGCACCGACCGTGTAAAAGGGGCGAGCATCTGCATCTGAGCTCAGCAAATCAAAAAGGTGTCAAGCCGCAGCCTGCTGACATGATCCATGGAGGATCCTAAAAGCTTCATTCGAAAGCGAAAAAAATGACCTATAGCCTACTGAAACATTAATGAAGTGCAAGTTGTCGCCCCAATCCGAGGCTGCCTACCTGCCCCAGCCTAAACGTGAAATGATGCGTTCATTTTTGGACTTTGCCAGGCTGCAGTGTTCACCTACTGTACTGAAGGAGGAGCAGCGCAGCCTAACGTTTTGCATCCTTTTATTTAAATTTACCCCAAATAAAACCGACCCTTTCACTTTCGAAAACCTCTCATTGCGACGTACGAAATCAATGTCTGGTATCCCTCTAACGTCCAAGGTTGCCCCCACATTAAAAATTAAAATGACAGCCTATTACTGAATAATTCATATCGACAGTACTTTCAGCATATGGATATATATTATAAATGAGCACACTATGCATAGGTTAAGGGGATTCAAAATGTAATACACGAACATCTAGCGATATTTATCCTATCTCATATTAAATGTCGGTGTCGGCAATTGGGAAAAAGAATCGCAATATTGGCAATGATTCATTCGAGGTGCGCATACTCGCCACTTGTGGAGTGACAGGACACTGCAGTATCCCAGCCCTGCGTCGCATTGGCACTGGACTTCATTTCCCGTCGTCAGTCAAAGCGCACACCCCCAAATCCTGTTTTAAATCTGTGCGTCGCATTGGCACTGGACTTCATTTCCCGTCAGACAAAGCGTTCCGTGCGACGCATTGATGTTGGACTACATTTCCCATAAGGAAAAGCGCCCACGTGCCGATTTTATTGCGCCGAAGATTCCCGCGGAAGGCCGTGCAACCTGCAGCTGCGGATGGTGCATGTTTATAAGGTGTTTTTTTTGTGCCTTATTTAGTTTATTGCTGCGCACATTTTCTGCTTATTTTTGATGCAAGCTGAATTTCGCCGTGCTGTATTTATTTTAGTTTTTAAATAGAGCTGAAACAAATAAGGAACTTATCGGAATAAACTCCCGATTAACTGTATACTTCCTCAAGGGCTAGAGCCTGTAAGTTTGCATTTTGCACGTTATTTCGTATTTAATTCTCTCTGCCTAACAGGCGACCGTAGCGGCATTAAAATAATCATATTCATGTAATTTGGGACGGTTTTCTGCAGCGGTTAGGGGCGTAATATGTAAAGATGGCGATCTACACTTCTGGGATTGTGCTTTTAGTTTCTGTCCCCTGTATCAGTTAGCTGGCCGCTATGAAATGCATGTTCATTTTACAGGTAAATGGGCTTTGATGGCGACCTCTCCTGGGACAAAGAACCCGGAGGACGAGGTGGAGTTTGTCTCCGTAAGTTGACGTTGTGATTTCTCTCGTCAGTCTGATATCCTGCCTTCCTGATGCACCTTATGAAAAAATGATTTGGACACACCCAGAATTAGAAAAAACGAGCTAAAACTGAGACAGCTATTTATCTATATATACATTTCACATGCTCTGCAGTTTTAAAAAAGCTGTCAAACCAGTAGATGTTATCAGCTGGCTTCCATATCTGAATGATTCTGTGTGGATCCTCTTGTGTGGTAGCGAAGCCAAATCCAAGTCTGTCGACCAGTTTGGCCATTTGAAACCCTGTTTGAGAGGAGGGTTGATGTTGAACTTCGGTTTGACTTTCATGGTCTTTAATATGTTTGGTCTTTCTGTTAGGAGGGTCCTCTCAGACCGGTTCTGGAGTACATAGACCTGCTGAGTGATGGAGATGATGAGGAGGCCAAGGCTGCCCCACAGTCTGTGAGCAACTCCGAGCCGCTTACTTGACGCTTATGGGCTTTTGATCCGGCCACCGTACGCGACCGGCTGCTTCGTTTGTGTGAGCTGTGATGTCGGCGCGATGGGACGGGGTCTGCACTGTGCGCTAACATGTTCTTTGTCCCTGTCACGAAGATGGAGGACCAGATCGACAGGAAGAAGGCACAGGTCGCCTCCACGCTGGACAGGCTGGCCCAACAGGTGGCTGCCGAGAAACAGCAGAGGGCAGAGAAGTGTCGAGCCTTCAAGGTGAGGCGGCGGGCGGAGGCAGGGGAGCCGGGAGAATGAGAGACACACACACGATTAATCCCGTTTGGCAAGCTGTCCTCCATCTTGCTGTCATGTCTGCCGTAGGGCAGTGGTCATTGCCTAGCTGCTGGGTAAGGCTTCCTTTGACACGCGCTGCGGCCTCGGTGCTCAGAGCTAATGGCAGCACTGGATGGACAGCAGTGTTACTGCGTCGTAGGGGACGTGTGTCTTTATTGAACCTCAGATACAGAGGTCTGGCTGACCCGCCATGCGTTGCCAGATGTCCTCTGTGGGTTAGTTAGCATGTTGATTAGCTCCAGGGCCAATTTATGCTTCCTTCCAGGAAAAGATGGTCTCCCAGCAGGCTAAGGGTCGGCAGGAGGTGGCCTTCAGCGTCAGCAACGGCGATCATTTCGATGCCAAGCGGTGTGTGGACATGTGGTTAAAGATGCCAGGTAGCCCTCAGTCGCTAAGCCGATTTATCTGCTACTGTAAGGACCGTTGTAGTATAAAATCCCAGTTGTATTTTGTTGCTTTGTTTCATTCACAAGCGGTCTTGGACATCACCGATCTTTCACGTCTCTCCATGACAGAGTTGAAACCCGGCACACTCAGCTCTCATTCCAGATGGGGGCGCCGGTCGTCACCACACCCCAGCAGCCACGCGTCTGTGCGTACTTGTCCCGTCATCAACTGTGGCCGCGTCTATGACAGCGCCCCCCTCCTGGAGGGCCACTTGAAGAGGTGACCGAGTTCAGGGGCAGTTTTAAGGGGGTGGTTTTTGGGTCCGGTGGAGCAGGAGGGCCCCCCCATTGACACAGGTTCTGCCCCCACCCCAGGTTTGACCACTCCCCGTGTGACCCCACCATCCTGCTGCGGGGCAGTCCGTCTGCATTCTACGCCTGCGTGGCTTGCTGCAGCCACTTTGAGAGCAAGGAAGCGTGGCAGGCCCATCTTACCGCTAAGGTACGAGCCTCGGGGTCCTTGGACTTTTAAGGCAGGCAGAAATGAAGCCACCTAAATTCCTTAGCACTCTCAGGCTCAGATTCGATCTGGGCACCAGTAATGTAAAATTAAGCATCAGTCCATTGGTGGATGGCAGCATTTCTGATTTCTGTTACATTGGCTTGATGTTTGATACCTCCTGTACCCCCCCCACCCAGCTCTCCTCCCCTGATCCTGGTGGCCACGTCCACAGCCTGAAGTACCAGCTGATCCAGTGCTTCGCCTGCCCATCCTGCTACCTCCTCTTCAACATCCGCGACGAGTGCTTGCAGCACATGGCAGCCAAGAACCACTTTATCCGGCCCACGGGAAGCGGTGAGAGGCCCCCTGAATGTGCGGGCAGGCGTTTGGGGGCATATTCATCCGGCCCCCGAATGTGCGGGCAGGCGTTTGGGGGCATAAGGATGTCATTCAAACCTGAAATGGCCAAGATAAAACTGCCTAATCATTTGGGATTAAAGCAAAGCTCAGGGTGTATGTTAACGAGTAATTTCCACTTGTGTGGGGGGGGCTATGTGGTGATATTAAGGTAAAGAGCTCTCAGACTGTTTCTTTCTGTTGTAGCCCAAACGGGCAGAGCCGCTCCCCTCCCCATCCCGTGGTACGCCAAGACCCGCCTCATCATTCTGTGTAAGGAGGTGGCGTTCCGCGTGCGCTGCTCCGCCTGCAGGAAAGTGCTGGCATCGCACACTGAAGCCCAGGCACACTTCAAGTGAGTGCAGGGAGTGGGGGTCGCCACCCGGAGGCTCCAGAAGCTTCCGCAGGGGGAGGGGGGGTCCCTGCCATTTCCCAAGGTTGACGTCCGCTGGTTTCCTGTGTCCCAGTGTCCGATGCAGGCAGGCCAGTGCCATGGCTGAGGCCGATCAGACAGTGGCGGACATCATGAAGCGGCTGCGGGTTCGAGGCCGCTGCATGCCGTGCGACGAGGTCTTCTGCAGCGAGGCGCAGATCGAGCGGCATAGGCAGGGCACTGGCCACCAAGTGGTGCCCCTGTCCACTGAGGAGGAGTCCATACTGCACTACTGCAGCCACCATGAAGTTGCACGCATGCGGGAGGCCCCCCCACGGCCATGTCCTGACTCCACAGGTCCCAGGACCTCTTCAAAGAAGAGGGGCATGCCGAACGACCCCCAAGACTCATCCCCAGTCAAGCGGCAGAGGGTCCGGCGCCCCGGGGCAGTCCTGGGGACGTCCGGCAGACAACGGCCCAACGCCTGGTTCTGCGAGTGTGGCCTGCGTTTCCCGGAAGAGTCTGCTGCCAGCCGCCACATAATGTTGTCCAATCAAGTGTTCCACAAGTGTGGCGTGTGCGGCAAGCTAATGTGCGAGGCGTCCATCACGCGGCTGCATATGAGCCGCATCCACGGTGGCGCCCACCTCTCCCACTTCCAGTTCTGGTGCCGCCGCTGCCAGGTGGATATGCCCCGGGAGGCGGATGTGATGTCACACGTGGGTGAGACCCACCATGGCCACACCTTTTACCGTGAGCGGGAAGTGACTGAGGAAGAGGAGGAGGAGGGCGAGTCGTCCACCCTGGATCCCCGCAAGTGCAGCCCCATTGTGGACGTGGCCCCGGCAGATCGCCCTCCCAAGTGGCTCTGCAGGATGTGCGAGGAGCTCTTTGAATCACTGGAGGCAGTGCGGCGACACTGTGGGGCCGTGGCCAGCCACAGCTTCCAGAGGTTTCTGTGCGGTCACTGCTCGCAGCGGTTCTTCAAGGAGCTGACGCTGCGGCGGCACTGCGATGCCGAGCATGCCGGCCACATCGACATGCGGTGGTGCTGCGGCCTCTGTGACAGCATGCGCCTGGAGACCGAGGACGAGTTCCTGCAGCACTACCGGAGCCTGCATGCCGAGGACTACTGCCGCGTGGAGGACCCCCCCACCCGGCCACGGGCCGCACCGTCCCCACTGTCACAGACGTGTCCCTGCATGGGGACGGAGAAAGACAAAGCGGAGAGGAACGCCACCTTCACACGCTGCATGAAGAGGCTGGCCAGTGAGGGCTGCTGTCATTACAGCTGCATCACCTGCGGCATGCGTACCCCATCCTACGTCCAGATCAAGGTCCACGTCCAGGAAGATCATGGCGTCCATAAGAGGGACAAGTCCTTCGAGGTGGCGTGTGGCCTGTGTCCCCAGAGCCTCGCCGGCGTCCCCGCCTTCCACTCCCACTATCACGCTCAGCATTGTCCCCTGTGTCCCCGCGAACGTCACAGGGATGACAAAATGGACACCAAAGCAGCTGTCCCTCTAATGCTGAAAGCAGAGGAGCTCGCACCCAAGGACAATGGCAAGTTAGCTAGATGGGCGTCTCCCAAGGCCGCCACGGCGCTGGCGTTCCCCCCCCCAGGTCGCCACAGTGCCCAACAAACTCCAAGCATGTTGAGATGCATTTCAAAGCTTCTGTCTACCTGCATAACAGGAGTGTTTTCTCTGCCCCCTTCCAGCAGAAGAGATTGAGGACATCAAAAGAGCTATTGCTCTGAGTTCAGGAGAGGCTGAGTGGAGGTCGCCCCCTAGTGGAGGTGTGACTCTGCGACCTGAGATTACAATTTGAACATTCCATCCTCCCATTAGCTGTGCATAAAACTCTCTCCTTGTGCTTCAGATGAGTCTGAGGAGGACCTGAACCATGCCTTAGCTTTAAGCGCAGAGGAGATGCAGAGGAAGCGAACGGAGTCGGATGAAGGCAGGTGACCCCCCCCCCCCCCCCCCCCCCCCCCCCCCCCCGCTCTGCCAGCCTTTATCTTTGTTGTAGGGGAGGCATCTGAGCGTTCACCCACACTCTGTTAATGGACATCTCTTTGCAGCCAGTCATGTATGAAGGCATCATTTTGGGTATGTTTAATCACACCGATGCATGTGGGGATCGACCGTACTCTTAGGGGTGTTTCTGGGAGTTGCTCAGTCGTATCTGTATGAGGTTTTCAGACACAGCACCATAAAGTGAGCCCACTCTATAAACACTTTGTATATTATGAAAATGACACCTATTAGATTGACCAGTCAGGCCTAAATTCTTGACTGTATTATGGGAGAAAGTGCGCCTCTGCTGGCCTCCTGCGGTAGCGCAGTGCGCCCTTCGCTCTCGTCACCTGTCTCCGTTTTATTTGTGTGTTTCGCAGAGATGGAGGAAGCCATCAAGAGAAGCATGGTGGAGTTCTGACCCGGACTGAAGCTTGTTTTATGTTCATTTTGATCTTTGTTTCAGATAAATATAAAATAAAGAATAAAAAGGTTAATGCAAAGCTGCGCCAGTTGAGCTGGAATAAATGGTAGGCTTGATAAAAATGAGTCGAGTGGTATCTTTTCTTGAATGGGGGTGGTTTTGGGCGTCAGTCGGAGCTCCCTCCCTCCGCAGCGGTAACCAAGCGCCGGGGGGGCCGCTCCCATCAGCCCATATCCTTCCAGCCCATGTTTGGCGATGTTTACGCGGTTGACAGGGCGCTATATCTGCGGCTCTCCGGCACCCGGGGCGCACTGATCGGGTATGGCTCAGGCCAGAATACACGCCAAAACCCAGGAAGCCGCTAAAGGCAGCAGGTTCAACCGGACCCTGTCCATGGCGGACCGGTCCGGACGGCTGCTGGAGAGCTTGGATCAGCTGGAAGTCAGGTGAAGTGCTGCTGTTCTCGGGCTACTCCGATTATTCTGACCGCTAATTGGGGAAGTGAACGCTTAGGCGCTGATGAATGCTTCGGGCACTGCATTTATATACCCTATGTATGCACTTATGCAGGCGTGTGAGGTTTATAATTAATCCGCATGTTTGGTCTATTTCTGTTTAGGTTTTAATTCTGTTTAGTTTTAACACATTTGCCGTTGATAAACACGTGCAGCCGACGGCGGCTTTACTCGCGTGCGATTCTAAAAATAAACTAAGCGAGCCAAGATATGGCCATGCATAGTTTGCAGATTCTTAAGACAATTTGACGCAAATGCTGGTTTTCAACACAAACTTGTTAAGCGAGATTTGCTGGGCATACTATTTATGTCCACTAGGCCTACTTATAAAATGCAATGCATAACAACGGGGCATAATAGATTAATTTAAATAAGTTTGTTCTTGTTAAAAACGTGGGTGTACAGTAAGTGCACCGAGGTACCCGCCGTATTCTCCGTCCTGTTTAATCACTCCGAATCTGGCCGTTTTTTTCACTAGGGTGGAGGCTTTACGGGAGGCGGCTGCCGCTGTCGAGCAGGAGAAGGAGAGCTTGCTGGAGCTGATCCAGTCGGTCCAGAACAGCCAGGAGATGCGCACCATCAGCGACGGTGAGCCTTGGCGCACTTGCCGGTGTATAGTGAGGAATCACGCGTCATCCGCGCGCTACTGTTAATATATACGACTTATACATGCTGTGGTGTTGGCAGTTGGCACGACCTGATCCTCATATTACCTATTTATTACTTATTGTTCATTTATTTTCCCCGCGACCCAGATGGATAAAACGGTATAGATAATGGAAGGATGGATGTTTATTAATTTTTAAAATAGTGCATTGCTGTTTGTCCTCTTAACCCCCCATGCACCCGTGACACAGGAACTTAACTGTGTTCCTCCAAAAACGTGGCAATAAAACTAGCATCTTGATCCAGGGTGAATGAAAACCTATTGTAATAGGACTTGTTTCTTGCCGCCAGGGGAAAGAGAGGAACTTAGTTTAACAGCAGACCGCCTGCTTAGCAGGACCCTCACAGTAGAAGTTTCAGTGGAAACTGTGAGAAGCCCCGAGCAGGAGGACGCTCTGAAGAAGGCTACCTCCATCATAGATGACATAGCTGCCAAGGTACTTGATGACATGGATGGTTCCAGAAGGCAACTAATGGCCCTCCATGCCACCTGTGTGACGGAGGCCCCCCCCGTCCCTATTGACCAAAAGTTTCAGAGCATTGTCATCAGCTGCGCCCTTGAGGACCAGAAGAAGATCAAGAGGAGGCTGGACACGTTGATCCGGAAACTCGATAACGCGGGGAAAACCATCCGGATCATGGATCACCAGAAAATGGTGTCCAGAAGCACCAACGGCAAATGAAACTCCAGCTATATGAGATATGAGTGTCTCGCCATCTTATTCATCACACGTTATTCCACCAGATTTAGGACATGCGCTATATATTTGTACCTAAAAAAAGACCAAATACTTGACTATAAGCTGTGAAGATGCTGATCTGTTCAGAATCACCTTTTTATAACGTGACTGTCATAACCAAAACCAAAGGCAATGTGTTGCTGGTTCAAGTCCCCAACCAGCAAGGCACCACTGAGGTACCCTGAGCAAGGTGCCGCCCTCAAGCACTGCTCCCCGGGCGCTGAATTAGCTGCCCCCTGCTATGTCACGATGTCACATATGGGTTAAATGCAGAGGACACATTTTGTTGCTGTGCATTGTGTGCTGTGGTGTGTAACAATGACCACTGATCACCTAATTCCAAATTCTAAACTAAATATAGATGTCTTTGTGTAGTTTGATGCCGGACAGCTCATATAAATGCTACCCTACACAGCCTATTCTCAGGTTTAAACATAGACACAATATAGATTTGCCACAAAAAATCGACTTACTCATTAACTTATTATGACCCGGACTATGCGTCCTCAGCTTCGCACTGTAGGGCGGAATTTCCCGGAAAGGTGCGCCGTGATCCACTCTGCTTCCTGGGCATCCCACTCAATTAGAGCGCGGGTGTTAATGGGAAAGGCTCAGACTGCAGAGCGTCAATAAAATACTTTCCTTTGAATTGGAATTATGGGGAAAAATGTTCCTCTTCTGTTAGCATTTATATGAACTAAACACCACAACATTAGAACAGCTTCACCTGAAAACACTACCCAGAATTATGGGTGTTATTTGTTTGCACTAGCACATAATTCCAGAAATAAATGTGTAATTTGAAAATACATTTTACATGTATGCTGCTGTATCCTGTTTGATTGCTACTCTATACCCAGAATGATTGATCTCTCCACGTGGACCACAGGCCGGACAGATGTCACCTGTACTAAGGGGAGATTAAGTCCACAAATCCTTTATTAAACGTCTTACATAACCATTAGACTGACGATACAAAACAAAATGCCGGAAATGAGATCACTGCGAACACGTACAACACACTGATAATCAGGTAAATCATAGGAAGCAGCAGGGATCAGCTCTGACGTCATATCTCAACAGCTGGAGTGATCTTCACTGGCTAAACATGGAGTCCCTCATAAGGCTGCAAGTCAGCATGGTTAAATTAGCCTGTGACTGAGCGTGGAACAATAACGGGTAGAGCACTCAACGGTTTAGATAAAATCATTTACAATAATCATATCAATCAAATGGCAAACATTCTTTATTCTTTAATAGGGCAACGACATTTTCAATATTATGTGCACGTCCAACAAGGATTCAATGGTAAGCTTTATTATAGAATAAAACCTCTTATACAAAATATAAAAGACTGAACAGGTTCACACTATCATGAAAGCATTTGAGGTTGTGCTGTATTGTACCATGATCCAAATTAGACATTTAAACTTATAATGCACAGTCAGCATGCAGCTTTGCTTCAAACACCACATACCGAACATCCAAAAAGCACGGTGACCAACCGAACTCAGAATAACGCATACCATGGACACAGCCACTGGCTGCCTCTGCCCATTCAGAATGACGCATCTTCAATACCCATAAATGGGCACCTTGCAGAAGGAGAGTGTAATCAGACAGATCCTCCACGACCGGGAACCCAACCAAGAAATCTGACACTTCAAAAGATCTGAAAGTCTGAAGTAGGGATCCGATCAGGCCTAATTCACTACAGGCCTAATTCACTGCAGGCCGAAAAACAAGAGGGCTGAAATCTGCGGAAATCACCTTCGAGATGTGCATTGCTGTATTGTGCAAATGAAAATGGAGACCCACAGGATTCCTGCAAGACATAAACACGAGCCGGCTGGCCGTCGAGGCTGACGACTTGCAGCTCTCCTCCTTTAGAGGTGCAGGTAAACATGGGAGAGACCACGTCTCCCCACCGAAGACCACCTCCGTGCAGGGACACGGCCCTCAGCCCTGACGCCCTCAACACTTGTAACATTTTCCTCATGAAACGGAACTACTAAGAAAATAAACAGCTACATGGTACTGTTTGCGATTCTTTTGAAAAGAGCAGAGATATGAAGGGCGATAATCAGATGAAGATACAAATATGCCAGTTGTCTATCTTAAGCATGAGTACCACACAGAATACAAAACAATTCAAAAGAATGCATAACAAAATAATACAATGCAATAAAGGGTAAACTATGCAAGACTGTGGAATGCTGCCCACCCATCACCTTAATGTATGGGCGCCATTTTCAGAGAGCTGGCCCTTTGTCAGTCTGACTGGAAAAGAGAAGCAGCTTGTAAATAGCAGCTAAATCATCCCTACACATCCCTACACATCACTACACATCACAAAGTTAGGTCAGCTTCCCAGACCATAGTGTTCACGAATTCATTCTTTATATGGGATACTGCTGGGGTGCGGGGGCGGGCGGGGGGAAAGGGGGTGTCAAGGAGTGAAAGGTAATTAATTTTGGGCCAAGCTCCCCTCTTCTCAGACATCCCCCTGAATATGGTGCAATAGTTTGTACGCTTTTTGTTGGGCAAAGACGGAAACTATTTAACAGGACCTGTCTGTCAGGAAGAGATCAAAAAATAGCAGAACTACAAGAGATTTAAAAAAAAAAGAAGAAGGTAGAAATGAAGCAGGACTGCCTGTTCTGGAAGCGCTGTGTAAACGCGGTATTTAGTCAGCAAGGTAGCAGGTACAGAGTGTTTGGCACTATGTTACGTTACGTTAAATCATCTTAGCTTATGGGCAACTCTCTGCCGCCGTCGTTCACTTGCCATCTATATAAAAATATCGCAGTTAGTCTTTTTAGATTAGCCCAAATACAGCTCATTCATAATATATTGAAGCTCTTTACGTTTCTGAAAAAAATAGGACCAATGATCTGATCTGTATAATATATATATATATATATATATATCTAACAATACAAATATTGCACAGTTGAACAGTAAAATGCACAAATGGTAATTTGTTAAAAATCACATAAGCACATCATCTGTAAACCAGCAGAATGTTAGGCTGATCTATACACCGTGTCAAACACACTATACTTATATATGAAAAGACATAAAAATATGATATGTACATTCCACTCAGAATATGATAAATGTCCCTCACTGTCCTTCCGGACCACGCGGGTGGGCGAGCAAGAGTTCACACAAAGCAGGAGGCCAGCTGAAGCATGAGCTCTGCTGAAGTTGAGGAGACCACAGCTCTGAGATATGGACCCCATCCAAGGAGGGAAAATGCACATTCAGAAATGTCTGGTATGAAGTTTCGCAATGTGTCCTTCAGAACTCGATTGACCCAAAAGGATGAGGTCATGCAGAGTCCTGCTCAGCCACAGCTCAGCGTCCTCTGGATTCCTCACTGTCCTGCTGTGGACTCAATCAGGCCCGTCACGCTAACAGTCAGAGATGGGGACACCTTTTTTGGAAGCTTTTCTTTAAAAACGAAACGGGCCAGGTGCCCCAGAGGACTTCACTAGTCTAACACACTTCCACTGAGCACCGTGAATACCCCCCCACAATCAGACAAGACAGCCTCTCAGAGAAATGAGCAGCCCTCAAACATGCAAGGCAGTGAGCCCCACCGCACGCCCCCCCCCGTCTCAGGCCA